GTCTTATAAAATTAAACCTTTCTTCGATACATCTTTATTGCTACAACCAACAATCTCATGAAGATTCTCTTTATTTGCAGAAAAAGAATTTTCTTCTTCGCTGATGTCTGATTCAACAATTTCCCTTAACTTTTTAGGTCTTCCAGGTCGCCTGTTTGATTTTTTTTACTCGTAGATTCTGAATTATCACATTCGATAGTCTTTTTTGGCCTTCTTCGTTTCTTTTTCTCGGATGTTTTTTAGTACATTTTTTTATAAAGAACGTACTTCTTTTAGAAATAAACTGGTTCCAGGTTTAGCAATCAATTTCTTACGACGAATAGAAGGCTTATCTGCAAATGTAGATCTTTGTTTGTCCAAGTATGAAATAAAAGAGTCACATAAAACAGTAGGATTTGCCATGTATTTACTCGTCTGTGTACTTGCAACTTTTTCAAAATAGCATTTCCAGCCGAATATTAACGCTCATTTTGTCTCCAACTCATTCAATTGTAGATTTTAAAAGGCTCGGAAAAACTGATTTGGGAATTGCCCCACGATTCTTATTTTTCCACAAATTCAATTCTTCTCGACAACTTTTCTTAACAGTATGAGAAATTATTCACTAATAATAATAAATAATCAATCTGAGATATTACAGAAGGTTTTCCCATTAATTCTCGTGTTCGTTAAATAAGGAAACTCAAGTTTTGTACTTAAAGTCACATTTATTATTTAATCTCAAAAATGCCTATAGGGCTGCCTACAAGTTTCATGGTTTACCCCTTACTAAACGGTCACGCAGCGATGAGGCTGCGCGAAAATCCAAATAATTGACAATAATTTCAGAATCAGGTGTTGGTTTTTTCTCAACTGACATATTTTTTCAATTTTCAAAATCAAATAAATCTTTATTAACCATTTCATCTGGAATATTTGTTGAAACTTTAATTTCCAGATCAAGGTGAATTCTACTTCATTTTTTATTTCTTTCGTAGTGAATTTTCCCATTTGAATTTTAGCAATTTCTGCTGCAATTAAGCATTGAGCTTTCGATGATTCGAAGTCAATTTTAAAAAATTTATCACAACGAATTGCTCCATGGACATTATTTAAAATGTTGTTCTTAACTTCTTCGAAAGCACTTTAAACGTAACAGGTCGTAAGTTTAATATATGGAGAAAAAAAATGCTTTCTATTTACCGACGTCTTGCAGCTTTAGCTGGAGAATGTATACTACTGTTTAAACAGTTTCCATCGTACTCATGACTCGCCATAATAAATGTGCAAAGTAGAATATCTTAAAATTGATCAAAATCTTCGCAAGATATCATTAATGCTACTCATTGTATGAAATAGTCTTTGACTCGAATGTATATATTTTTTTTATCCCGCTGCTTATTACTTTTGTTTGTTGTTGCAAATTCAAAACATTTTTTTATGTATTCTTTAAGTGTCATCATGTTAAATCATTGCTCCCAATAAGGCTTTTGAATAATCGCTCACAGCTTCCCTAGGAACAGTTTTAATACACTTTATCCAGTTCAGTAACGAATGTTCAATATTAACTGTACCCTGAGCAGCTGAATGAATTTGACTTGCACTGGCGACGTCATGTCAGACAAGTTTATTTTTTTAACGAGGCTACTTGTACTGTCTACACAAATTGTTGCTCTTTCTCCAGAAAGACGGCTATATTCTTTGAAAACAAATATTTGCTCTGACAAGAGATATTGCAACTGAAATTTACTAGCAGAAATGTGCTTAATCGAACCAAAATAAAGCGTCTTGTTTCGCAGTGTTAATAAAATAGTGATAGGATCAGTACCTTCTTTAGAATTGATATTTAATTCCTTATATTTTAGCTCCGGCAGAACATTTCTTAAAACTTTATTCTTATAAAGATTTGGAGCTGGAAGGTCACCAATATTCTGCATTTCTTGAGCAATTTTTCGACGAGTGTTCTCTGCTCCATGCTTTGAAACAATTTGGCCTATTGCCTTTCTTTTTTCAAACCGTAACTGCCGCCGTTTGACTTCCTTAAATCTTAACTCTTAAATCTTAACTTCTTTTATCTTGTATCGATACATTTCACTTGTAGCCATAAATCAGAATTCTGAATCGGTTTCGATTTAGCGACAGCGAAATATTTATTCTTGCACTTATTACTTTTACATTTTCAAACTATAGTAACAAATGGTATATTAATATTTCTAGATGTTTGAGAAACAAAATGTTTCTTAAAGGAAAATGCACATGGCATTCTGTATTGTTTCTAAAATTCGTCAGCGATTGCATCGGACCATACTCCGGATGAAAGTACTAACACTTATCTACCATTATAATTTTCCACGACAAGCTGGATTTCATTTCACATTTTCTTCCGAATCACGAAGTCGAAATATTCTTCTCCATCTAACAATAGAGCAGAAGACAATGATGAATCATTTAAATGTTCATTTTCATTTGATATTTCATTCTGTTCCGATTAATCACTTGGTTTTAACGAATTAGAATTAGTGTACAATTCTTTTTTCTCAAAGATTTTTTCAATCCCCAAGTTTTCAAAAATCTTTGTCTGCAATTGTTTTCTATTTTCCTTCAGATTTATAGAGACATCGTGTGAAGTCCATTTATTTTGTAAAGATGCTGCAGCTTTCATGTCGAACTCATTTGTATATGGTGGTATGAATGAATATGAATACACTTAACGAGAAATCTTAAATAATAAATATAGACAAATACAATAAAATTACAATTAAAAAATGCTTCAACGAATTTAAAACCCTTTGCACCAGCCCTATGACACTCCTGTACATTTTCATATAAATGCGATGGCAAAGATTTGACTAGGCGCTGTAGTCGGAACAGGCCGATTTTTGGCGGCAATTTAAAAAAAGATGATATTATTTTTATTCTTTATAAATATTTATTAATTATTTATTAATATTAAGCAAACTTAATAATAATAAATATTTAATAATTAATAAATATTTATAAATAATAAAAATAATAATTTTTTTTAAATTGCCGCCAAAAATCGGCCTGTTCCGACTACAGCGCCTAGTCAACTCTTTGCCATCTTATTTTTAGATCTGCTTTGCACAACGGGAAACCCAAAACATGTAAGATTTTTAAGGATCGACTCACATACACATTGTCCTTAAAGCTGTCATTTTATGAAAAACATTAAGGCTGGAGTCCCATGTAGATATAACAGAGGAATCGTGTAAAAGAATTAACCTATCTCGTGCAAACTGATTTAGAAAGATGCGTGTTCCAGGACTAATTTCAATAGGATTTTCTCTAATCGCCGTGTATTTCACCGTCCTACAAAATTTAACTTTTCTTTTCACACACAAAAAAATTAAACATTTTCGGAAACTAGGACCAAAAAAAATACCCGTGTCTAGCCGTTTTGCTGGATCAAGTCGTTTGTGGCTTCTAGGGGTGAAAACATCCCTTAAATGAAAAGTGACAAGTTATATTTTAAAAATAGATTCAATTTGCCTAAAACTCGTTACTCGGGGGTTTTTAGGGTCGCTGATCACGAATATGATGTCAGTTTTTCAAAATTCAATATGGCGGATCCAATATGGCGTCTGTCAAAATAAAAAATTGATCAGATTCTCTTGAAACTTGTTACTCGGGGGTTTTTGGACTCGCTGATCACGAATGCGATGTCAGTTTTTTAAAATTTAAAATGATGGATATAATATGCTGTCAACATTTTTAAAAATAGATTCAATTTCCCTAAAACTTGTTACTGGGGGGATTTTTGAAATCGCTGATTACGAATCTTAAGTAAGATTTTCAAAATTCAAAGTGTAGGATCAAAATGCAGATTACAGGTCTAGAATGAAACTGGAAGATTTAATTGTGTGATTCTTTTTTGTTTTTTGCCATTTTGAATTTTTAAAATCTGACTTAAGAAACGTAATCAACGACCCCAAAAAACTCCTGAGTAACGACTTTCAGGGAAATTGAATCTATTTCTAAAAAAGTTGTCCGCCATATTGGATCCGCCATTTTGAATTTTGAAAAACTGACATCAGATTTGTAATCAACGACCTCAAAAACCACCAAGCAACGAATTTCAGGCAAATTAAATCATTTTTCTTAAAAGTTGTCCGCCATATTGGATCCGCCATTTTGAATTTTGAAAAACTGACATCAGATTTGTAATCAGCGACCCCGAAAAACCCAAGTAACAAGTTTCAAGCGAATCCGATCAATTTTTTATTTTGAAAGCCGCCATATTGGATCCGCCATTTTGAATTTTGAAAAACTGACATCGTATTCGTGATCAGCGACCCTAAAAACCCCCGAGTAACGAGTCTTAGGCAAATTGAATCTATTTTAAAAATATAACTTGTCACTTTTCATTTAAGGGTTGTTTTCACCCCTAGAAGCCACAAACGACTTGATCCAGTAAAACGGCCAGACACGGGTATTCTTTTTGGTCTTATTTTCCGAAAATGTTTGATTTTTTTGTGTGTGAAAAATCGTGTCGGACGGTGTTTTGATAGCAATTCTGGGACTATATAATATGTTGTGGTATATCTCTCAGTGTTTTATTACTTTTTCTTTTCTTTCTGTTGCCTAGTTTGTAGAAGGTTGTCGAATTTCAGCATAATCGTTATTCATTTACATTATTTAAAATATTAATTTTCTTTTTTGTATTTTCATTTTACAAATATAATATAACAATTACAATATTATAAAATACACTGAATATAATGCAATAATATGTTGAAAAATTTATTAACAACAGATACAATATTTTTAATGGATATATATATATATAGATTATATAGATTAACAATAACAACAGTAAATGGTTTAAATGATTGTTTATGTTAATTTCTAATACATAATTTTTACTGTTAAATATTTACCGTCTTCTAATTATAGAAAAATACATGTTTTAATTTGTGATGATTTACACACTTATTTCATTTTTTAAATTATCGAAATTTTAAAGATTTTGTACTTTAATGTATATGTATTTTTTTATTTAGATGATATCAGCGATGATACTCGGCTTTTAATGATAAATGCTGTGTATTTCAAATGTTCATGGAAACATAAATTCGATCCAAAATTAACAATGAAGCAGAATTTTTATAACACAAAAAACAATGTTAAACAAGTTAGTATGATGCATATGAATGCACATTTTTCTCACAGGACTTCAGCAGATTTAAATGCAAGAATTTTGGAAATTCCTTACCAGGTATGTAATTTTAGAATTGTGCAGTTTAAATAATTTTTTATTATTTATTCTCAAATATCTTATTTATTGAAAACTGACAGAGATACACAGACTTCTTATTGACAAAAGTAATACAACGTGTATGGGTGAGGTAGGAAGAGGGGTTGAGGGAATGTAATGGCGGATTTTAGGTTAGGACCAATAGCCTAAATTTAAAATGTTCCTTTTTTGTGGCTTTATTTTTTGCGTGTAAAAATTTAAAAACTAATCGAAAATAAAAATACATGGCATTTGGTATTGAAAAGAAGAGTGAAATATTAAGGCAAATAGACGAGGGAGTTGATAAAGAAAACATTTTAAAGAAATTTAAAATTTATATCGAACACAATTTTGCTTTCATGCACCATACGGCTCTGAGTGCTTATACTTTTTGGCGTCAAGGTGTCCATCCCGAACTTTAGACACCAGTACCGAGCAGTCTAAAGTTCAGGGGTTTCAGTGTAGCGTTAAACGTTAAACAGCGTTCATATAGTATGAACCTATGAAACAAGTAGCCAAAAAACTCTGGCCTATTTGGGGACAGAATATGACATTCTTTAAAGAGGTGCTTCAAAGTTCTATCTTCAGCCCCACAAGGGCATGTAAGATCCATTCTCCATCCCAAACGGTTAAAATGATCTAAGCTTATGACATGCCCAGTTCTAAGACGGGTAACCAAATTAATAGTTGAACGAGAAGCTATCAATCCCGAAACCAAGGTCTCTCTGTCTCAAGATTAATTCTAGAAAAATATCTCAGTCCTGTAGGTTGTTTACCAAAAAAGGCCGTAGGGTCTTTGTGGAGTAGAATCCACATTAAAGAAATCCTTTGTCCTCTTAAACTGCCAGCGTAAACAACGGCAAGAATTCTGTAGACAAGTTGGGAAGATGGTTTACTCATGAAAACATTTCTGACATCACAAAGCACCTGTCTAGCATCCGAGAAAATTAGAGTATTTGGAATGTTAATTCTCTCGGCGTGAAGGATGGTCAACAGTATAGCATATGATTCTGCTGAACAAGCAGAAGAAAATTCCTGCAAAGCTACACCCAATCGAAAATCAGACTCAGGAATATAATATGAGCTACCATCAATCGAAGCTTTCACTCTAGAAACTGAACCATCAGTAAAAATAAAGGTATAATCTGTATAATTATCTCGTAGAATAGATTCTAGGACATCCGAAGGCAAATGACAAAAACCCTATCCTGCATAGAAAGAGCTGCAGCATTAGCCGACCCATACAATTGACAACCCCGTTCCAAGTACAAACGAATCAATCCCCTTTAAACTCTAAGAGTCAGGGCTAGAGCAGCACCCCAACTGATTTTCGAAATGATCTTAAGAACATTTATGTCCTTCCTGCCACAAGAAACGTTCTCTTTTATATGTGGAATCCAATACGTTTCCAAGATATTTAAGTTCAGATGAGCCCAGTATACGAGAACCATCAACTTCAATGAAAATATTCTTATGGTCGATCTTCTTGGAAGCAAAAGGACAGAGTACACACTTCGTTGGTGAAATCCTTAATTCCATCTGCAATAGCCAATCCGACTGGAGCCACAGCCACATCAATATGTCCCCTTGCCTCAGGAACATCTCCGCCTCTAGTGTATACAAGGAGATCATCTGCATACTGTGCAGCCCTCACATGAGCAGGAAAAGTAGTACCAATCTCTGCCAAGTATACATTCAACAACAGAGGTCACAAAACGTCCCCCTGAGAAACGCCTACACAAATAAAATTCATATGAAATAAATTGGTAGAAACTAAATCTCTTAAAACATGTGCTTATTTCAATCTACTGCAATTAATTCAAATATAATTTTATAGCAAAGGAAGAAAACAACAGATTCACCAAATCAAAATAATTGTATATGTAAAGTGCAGCAGAATGGAAACAATAATTTAGCTAAAGTAAAACAAGTCCAATTGTACATAACACAGCTCACCAAAAAAAAACGAAAAAATTTTGCGCCTGGGTTTATATAATGATTTTTCTATTTATTATTCACTAAAATAAAGGAAAACTATACATATTCTTTTTAAAGTTTGCTTTTGTAGTAGTTGCAGACATGTTAAGGGGGGAAATCCCGAAAATTAAGCATATTTTAGGAATTTTTTTTTGGCTCAATGAAATGGTCAATTAAAAATCTGTAAAGTACATTTTATTCCATGAGTATTGATATGCAAACTATATTTTTTCAAAAAAATTTCATTACAAATTGGCTGCGGTGCAGCATTTTTTTGGAAGGCGTCTGTATCTTAGGGTTCCATGGCCGGACAACTGACGTCCTCACTTTTTAATTTAAAAAAAACAAAATGTTGTCATTTTCTACACATCAACAGCTATCGACACACGTAGGATTTTTTTGATATTTTGATTTTTTGCAAAATGGTGCGTAATTCAACAAAAAAAATTCTAAAAATTAAGGATATTCAATTTGCCTGAAAATTGTTACTCAGGGGTTTTCGGGGTCGCTGATTATGAATTTGAAATCAGATTTCAAAAATTCAAAATGGCGGATCTAATATGGCGGACATTTTATCTAAACATTAATCCAATTTGCCTGAAAAATGTTGCAACAACATTTATTAATCTTTTCAACTGAGTCTTTTTCCCTTACCCTCTTAAAGAATTTTATTAAACTTTTTAAAAATATTTGAATTTCGGAAAAAATTATAAAGATTATTGAAATTTTCACGAGAATTTTTGTAAATTGTTGAACACAATTACTTACTGTAATGCTACTGCTAAGCGAAGTTTTGACGGTAATGATCTTCTTCGAATATTGCTTTTTTTCGACCGCCTTTTTAACAACTCGTGCAATTCATTAAATTGATCAACGGTCATGTGTGTCAATTTATAAAATTCTTCCTCGTCAATTTTTTTAAAATAAGAGACGAGTGTTGCAAATGCTCCAAACTGACTTCGAACATTTTCACGAATATGTGGTTTAACCCACCATCTTCGATACCACATCCTTTTCACCTTTAATTTCAAATGTGCCTCATACAAATGAACTAATGCTAAACTCAGCATAAATACACAAAGTACCTCCATTCTTAGTTTTTAAAATTGTAAGTTTGTTTTGTCCACAAAAACCAGTAACAATAGACGCAACAGGTTAGGTTATTATCGGACGGGATAAAAGAAGATTGACAATTTCCACGGACGTTCAATTAGTAGGACGGGATAAAAGAAAATTGAAGATTTTCATATACGTGCAATATATAATTATTCAGACATTTCATTAAAATTTAAATGAGTAAATAAATTTAAAATAAATTTTAAAATTAAATAAATTCTTATAAGAACTAAGATAGTAACATAATACTTTTTATTAATATTTATTTAAAAACAATATTTTTATTACTAAACCTTCTCGCTGACTACATACAATTATAACTTTACAAAATACTAAGATTCTGAAAGTAGTTAATTATATTAACTTTTAAATTGTAAACCCGTGTAATGAAACTATAAATTCCTTTTAAAACTAATGCGCAATAAAATGTTTGACGAAAAAAAGTACAGTAATTATAAACATAACCAATAATAACATAGTTACACTTGCGACATGTAATTTGTAAATTAAAATATTCCATTATAAACGGGGAAATAATTTATATTAGAATATATTACTTTTTTTATTATTGTTATTTTATATATTTACTGTGTAATTACTTTTATTGCATTATTATAATAATGTAATAATAAAATTCTATGCACAGTTGGTATCCCTGCACGTCATGCGAGCGGCACGCACTTTCCGTCCCGAAAAAGCGTCCCGCTTCGCTTCTTAGATCGAAGTGTGGATTCCCCATTCGAGTATTATTAAATACGGTGGCACTGTCAGCTACAGCCACTATGCGTAGATACTAAACGTAACAATTGATAATAAAGGATTTTTTTACAGAACATATATGTAACACGGGGCTGCATTTTCTCTTTTCTAAAACTCGTAACAGACTATCACAGGAAATACTTCCCCTACAAACTGGTCCTGACTGCATTCCTTACGTAACAATAGACAAATAGCTTGACTTTTCCTAAAAGCAGGCACCAAAAGGACAGATTCACTTTGGCTTGCATACGTGCAGCACGGTTTTCTCCGCTTCGTAAAAACAAGTGTATTTTTAAACTTGCTGTCAAATAAATAAAAATATTGTTTTTCTAATAATTTATTTAATTATTAATTTTCCTGTCACAAAATTGTCGATCCTGCCAGGATAGCTCGAAACGATTACAATCAAAAATCGGCTATCTTTGTGCGAACCAGTGTTTTATTGAAAAAAGTGAAAGTTCAGTTTTGTGAAAAAATTTATATATATGGGACGTTCCACGTCAAACGGACCAAAGCTCTGCCCAAAATGTTTTCCAATGAAAGTCAACTTATTATAGATGAAAATACTCGTAAGCTCATACTGCTTCGAATGAAAAGTGGCAAAATCGAAAATTCAAAATGGCGTCATTACTGTGACTCTTTTTGTAAACTTTATTACAAATTATGGAAACAAATTTACATAGTAGTGTGCAAAAATAGTTATAATTTGGTGAATAATGACTAACTCTTACGTTTTTGGGGTCGCTGATCACGAATCCGATGTCAGATTTTCAAAATTCAAAATGGCGGATCCAATATGGCGGACAAATTTGAAAAAATGCTCGGATTCGCTCGAAACTGATTACTCAGGGGTTTTAAGGGTCGCTGATCATGAATCCGATGTCACATTTTCAAAATTCAAAATGGCGGATCCAATATGGCGGACAAATTTGAAAAATTTGCTTGGTTTCACTGGAAACTGATTACTCAGGGGTTTTAAGGGTCGCTGATCATGAATCTGATGTCAGATTTTCAAAATTCAAAATGGCAGATCCCATATGGTGGACTAATTTGAAAAACGGTTTGCATTTAAACTTAAATGTCGGAAAATCTATGGAAGAAGTGTTAATATTGTAACAAATTATGCTTTA